ATGTAATTAACGTTAATATATTGAACTATTGAAGAATATGATTCTTTGGCTACAAGCCTTTTGTGATGGCACGCGGATATGATGCTTATCAGCATCTAAACTTAATGACTGTGGATGATTTGCCCTGAATTTTTTTTTTTTAAAATAAATGCATCCTCAAACTTGTCGGTTGTTGTAGACCACTCCTTCATGAGATGACGTTAAGTTTTCATCCAATTCAACGGAACACAATTTTATGTTGACCCCGCTGGCCGCTGCTGATCTGGACAGTAAGGAATGCTGACATGGTATGGGACCCTTAATTTTATTTTATTTTTTGCCATCAGACCCTTAAATAATTAAATTTTGATTAATTAAACAATCAATTAACTCAAATAATTGAAATTTATTAACAATTAAGTAACTTTATTAAAATATAAAAAATAAATGCTATGGACCAAGAACCCAGAGCCAGAGATTATAATGTTCTGTAAAGAACATGTATTATTATTTGGTTTTATTATGACATTAACATTATAACATTCTCGAGCAATACACGGCCGCACGGGTATTATTTAGCTTCATTATAAAATCGTAATGTTCTCATGTGAGGCACTGCCAAACCTGTTTATATTAATAAAGGCAAATAAGACCACAGGAAGATGCCGGAAGAGTAGCTTTTAGATTAGTCGGCCCAACTGCTTCACTCATATCAATCGATTCATCAAAAGGGGTTGAGAACTCAAACTGCTGCAACAAATTACTGAGCGTAAGTTGCACGACTTGAAGTGCAAATGAAGCAGCTGGACACATTCTTCTTCCACTACTAAACGGGATCAACTGGAATTGCTGGCCCTTGACATTAACCTCTTTATGGCTGGTTAGAAATCTTTCTAGCCGAGAATCATCAGGATCTGACCACACTCGTGAATCACGTTGAATCTTATAAACATTGATAAAAAGTCCTGTGCCTGCAGGAATATGATAGCCACTTACTTCACAGTCGATCTTCCATTGATTCATGTGGGGGTATGACTGGTGAGGGAGGATATAACCGTAACGTTTCCTTGATGATGGCTTGAAGATAGACCAAGTCCCTTGTATTTCATTCCTTGATCTTCCCATCTTTGCCAGTCAAGGTGTCTAACTCTTGCTGGGCCTTTTTCAATATGTCTGGATTATTGAGTAGCATGGATAGAGCCCATGTCAAGGTTACGGTTGGGGTATCCGAACCACCCAGGAGCATTGTCTGTCAAGACATTAATAAATCTTTAATCTTCACCCACTAGTACTATCACGAAAACAAGTGATGCATAAAGTTTGAAATCCACTACAAATTAACTAATTATGACAAAATCTTACAGGGAATGTGGCTTTGTTTATGCTATCAGCAACACGCCATTCTGTGTCACTAAGAGTTGATAGCAGCACGTCCATAAAATCTTGGTCGCTTTCAACCTCACCAGAGTTTCTTCTGTGCGCCTGGGCTCTTATAACCATTCTTCAACAATTTTTCCAATTCTTTTGCTGCCTTCTTCATGAGCTTTTCCTCTCCACCAATGTCCAACCATCTCAAAAATGGGAAGGCATCTGCTATAATGAACTGGCCGTTTAATTCAAGGAAATCCATCAACGCTTTTTTCCATCTCACACTCTCTGCATCATCATCAGAACTTGAAATTTTGTTAACCACAATTATCGTTAGCATCATATTAAGGTTCACATCTCTAAACCATTTCTTCATGTCTACCAATGCCTTACCGGAGTTGCCTTTCTTCTTGCTCCATAGCTGATGCAACTCCTGTAAAGATTCCTTTACAACAGCTTCTTGCACATGTTTGAGCATCTCAAGCTAGCGGAATGAGACGAGATCACGAATTAAAATCTTGCGTACATGGCGCCAGTAGGGTCCCTAAGGAGCCACGCCGAAGAGTGAGTTATTAAAGCCCAGTACTCCACTGCAACAAGTATTGGACGATTAGCTTAGGCCTTATATATCATTGGTAGTGAGACACTCTTCGGCTACCTCCCAGTTACTACCACAGCTTCTTGCATGCACAACTTGATAGTAAAGATCAGTCCATATTTTTCAGCCATGTTAGTCAGGGTCAAATGTGCTAGTTTTGAACCTCGTAGGAGGTGGAGATGGCCAATCACAGGCCACGCACCGTTAGCTTTTGGTGCTACTCTCTTGTTGTTCATATTTATAGAGAAACATTTTTATATCCTTAGAAGAAAGAAAGAAAAGATAAAGGAGGCAAATATTGCAGACATTGAAATTGTATGGAATGAAGGAAATGGTGTATCCATTGTTAAGTGATAGATTATAGCTACAAGTTGCAGGATATATATATACACACACACACACAGCCTAACTAGATATTATTTTAAGAGGATTGTTGGCAACTGTCATGCTCTCATTAAAGCATGTAGGGGCAGGCGTGTCTAGATTCAAGACACAAAAATGCCTATGTTGCTCAATTAAGCCATGGGGATTTGGGGGAGATAATAGGGTAGATGAGATTTGCCTCTACTTTGATTGATTCTAGGAAGTCGAAGGCAGCAAAAATTGCATTACCTACGTTGCTAAATTAAACATGGATAGTTTGGGAGAGTTAATATAGGGTAGATGAGAATTGCCCCCGGTCCCTACAATATTTGATTCTAGTGAGTCAGAGGGACACCATTCAAGAAGATAGGCCCGCCTCCTAATTAGACCATTCCAAACTTTGTCAACGAGACTCTAAGTCCCTATAGTATTGAAGTTGTGGAGCAAAACCATTCTTTCAGCCCTCAAACTTGTTCTATTTTAGCATATATATAAGCCTGTAGATTAGACTAAAAGACAAGCAAATAAGTCTTTGGATTGTTAGAATTTTAAGAATTGATATAGGTAATATTTATGATACCAAGATTTAATAAAATAAAATATAAATTGCATACTTAAATCTCCATAAATTAATATATTACTTAAAAATCCTTAAAGATAATCATAATTCGGAATCTCATGACAAAATTTTCAAAACAAACATAGTTAATATTTGGGATTTAGGTCTTCCTCTCCCTATTCAATTTTTGTATAGTGACAACCAATGTATAATGCCACTTCTTAACTCTACTATTTATAGAGGTAGAATTTTTTAAATAAGATAAGGGACCTAACTTATTATAATAATCTTTTGAGAACTCTCATCAAATATTTCACTTTTGATTTCAGATCTTACACCTATTTATATCACACCATATAAAATTGAAATAGAACTCAAGTTCATTTAGATCACATAACTTTATTAGATTTTATTGATTTTCCATTTGATCTAATTTTGAAAATCAAATATAATTAGCGGAAACACACATAAAATTTCCAACATTGTACAATTGCAACAAATTAACACTTTGTTACAAATACTGTTAGTTTTCGTAAATTTTAACTCATGTGATAAGTAAAAGGAACACTTGACGTTAATGCATTAATGTAGAAATTAAATTAAAATTTTTCATTTTCTTTTAATTATCATTACAATGTGCATTAAAAATAGACATTTATTTTATCTATCATATAAGTTGAAAACAACAAAAACTAACAATAGTCATTAACGAATGGCTATTTGCTCTAATTGCATGGCTTACTAGAATGAGTTAAGTTTGAGGCTTAAAAAATGATTTTGCTAAGTTTTAGGATTAATTTATGAAGGGTTTTTCTAACATATACCATAAGATATAAATTAAAAGTGTAATTATTATATTTTTTTAATATTTTTATATTACTTAATATTAAAAAATATGAATATTTTAATTAAAATAACTAACGTGAATATTAATTAAATAATATAAAAATATTCGTATTTCTAACATGTTGTTAATTTCATTACTAGGGTTACATGAGTTATTTTAATTGGACAATTACTCAAATAAATATCAATTTTTATTTTTCAAATACAAATTAATGTAAAAATAATGTAATAATTATATTTTTAACATGTATTCTTAACTCATGTTAGCAAAACTCCTTTTTAAAAAGAAATTTTTAATATATGTTCTTAGAGTATAAGATAAACGTCTATTTATTATACTTTTATAATTAATTTATCTTAAAAAATTAAAAAATAACTTTAAATTTATCAATTATTTAATTAAAATATATATGTGATGTCAATGATAAAAATAAGATTAACTTTCTTAAAATTTTATAAAAATTAAATATAAAAAATACACTTAATGCACCCCTAGAGAAACCCTTTTTGAGATACGTAATTTTCTTTCCTTTTCTAAGTTCTGCATTAAAGAACAAGAAGCCTTTTTCGGCATGCCTGAGCAAGGAGTCGCCGGCACCGGAAGAGAGCATGTGCACGTTGACCAATGCCAAAAGCTGAAATAATAATTTTTTTTTCTTTTTCCAACGAATTTTTTTTTACTAACTCTTTTATTTGTAGGTTTGCTTAATTTATATTTTAAAATTTTAATTTAAGAATGAATAAATATATTTTTTAATTAATTTATATAAAAAATTGTAAAAATTAATATATTTTTTAATATATAATTAATACATAAATAATTTTAATTAATTAATTGAAAATACGAAAGGACTAAAATGGAGTTGGAAATAATAAGTTTGGCGAGCATTTTGTAGCTAAAAGAAAGTTCGAAAAGCAAAATGATATAAAATAAAAAAAATTCAAACATTATTTCGTACGTAGATTAAACCTTTGAAACGTACATTTCTTTGTACTATTTCTTTATCCTTTCAAACATACAGTTTTTTTTTTTTTTTTTTTTTTTTTCTTTTCAAAAATACAGTTGATGAGCTAATTGGCTGCAAAACGGCATGGTTTGGGCTGCGAAGATGGTAGAAGACGGTGTTACTCTATTTAAAATCCTTTCCCAAACCTCCTATACTTTTAAATCCTCTGCAGACGTCACGCCTAAATCATCAGTGATCTAAGACAATAATTTTTTCGGCCAGGTGAATACATGGCAGAAGGTGCTATGTGGCCCATGTACTTACAATGTTGTGGCAAGTCAGGCCCTATAGTTTAAATCATGGCAAGTCAGCCCCTCTACTTCACAAAATCCACCTAACAGCCCTTTTAGTTAAACTGACGTCATCCAAACGTTAAACCCTTCGATTGCCCATTAAAGTCTAATAAGGTGGCGCTAATTGTGTCATTGCAATGTATTTTGAATTCTCCTTTTGTTTAGATTTTCTTTTTAATGGACTTATAAAACCCCCAATGTCAGTTATCAAGATAGACACTTCGATATATAAATGAGTAATAATCGAACTTGCTAAAAAAAAAACAAAACTTGAGGTTAGTTTTTATTTATCTTTAAAGAATGATCTTGAAGAGTATTTATAATTTCAAATAAGTGTCAACGTATTTTGTTTTATAAAAAATTAAAATCATATGCGTCAATCATTACAATAATCTTTTATATAAAAATTAAACATGTACGAATCCACTGTAGATCTAGCATAAAAGGAATGAGCTCGACCTAACGCAGCACGGCTGCTAAGTGGACAAGCTTAGGTCTGCTTAAGCCGGGTCCAAGGTTGTTTACCTCGGGTTGTGATAGCAAGCTTCGGGATCGTTCTTCTTGGGATCTCTGGCTATCGTCATAGATTGGATGCTGACTAGGCATTGACGTGAACCAATTTACTTAACTTGGGATAATAGTAATATTTGGGAAGGTATACATATCTTTATAGCTGGTTTAAACTTGAAAAATAAATTTTCAGCTACAAATTTTAAGGAAAAAAGTACTTATTTATAGAAGAAATAAAAGTGATTATTTTAGAAAATAATTGATTCTAAATCAATCTAAATTATTATATTGTTAAAAAAGTATTTTTTGGTAAAAATTATGGAAGATTATCATCCAAATATAAGTGATTATATTGATTACAAGTATTTCTTCAATTATTGCTTTTAGGATATAAGAAACCAAATTGTTTTTTAATGATATGTATAAACTATAAAAAAAGTTTTATTCTCTTTATTTGAAAATAATAGTCATTTTTTATTTTATTTTTTAAAAATTAATGAGATTGAAAATTTATTATTAAAATGAATAGGGATTTATTCATATATAAATTTTATATAAATATATTATATAAAATTTATGTATAAATAATTTTTTTTGTTAAAATTAATTTTGAAGTAGAGAGATAGATACCAATCAATGTTGACAATTACAAGATATGTCATTTATTTAAAATCTTTATTGTCTCTTAACTAGTCAAATAAAAGATGTTCAGTTACGCACATTTGTCCTTCTGTAACAAAATTTAAGTAACTAGAACTTAAAGTAGAGCCAATCTAATTAGTTTATTGCTAAATGGTGCTTGTCGAAGGCCAAAATAGGTTGTTTTTAATATTCAAGGTTTTTTAAAATTTGGGCCTACATGTTAATTTCTTTATATTAATTATTATTAAAAATAAAAATTAATTTTTATTTAATTAATTATTAGATTTGTTTAATTTGTATTTAAAAGACATAGATTAAGACTCATTAATTAAAGTATTTTTAATTATTTTATATAAATTTTCATATTAAATTCATATTTTATATATTTTGAGTATATATATTATATTATATTTTTATATATTTTATTTTATTTTATTTGAATTTGTATGAAATTTTATACAAATTTAATTATAAATATTACAATTAATGAGATTTAACTTGTACTCTAAAAATATAAATTAGAAAAATTTTTAATTATTTAATTAAAATAATTTATATAAAAAAATATATTAATTACACTCATATTCTAAAAATATAAATTAAAAAAAATCTTAATATTTTATGAGTCTCTAATATCTAGAAACAATATAATATTTGAAAGGATAATGATATGTGGATAATTTTTTTTTATAATTTTTTATATAATTTTTTATATTATTAAATGAGTAAATATACTCAATATTATGAATTTTAAATAAATAAAAAAATAATTATTTAAATAATATATAAAATTATATAAAAAATTATCTTTAAATTATTTTTTTATTTTAAGTATCCCAAGCGAAAAGAGGCCTTCCTTTATATAAAGTAATTAGCGCCCAATCAACGCCACCTCATCAGGCTTTAACGGGCAATTAAAGGGTTTAATGTTTGGATGACGTCAGTTTAACTAAAAGGCTGTTTTGCGGATTTTGTGAAGTAAAGGGGTTGATTTTCCATGATTTAAAGCATAGAGGCTGACTTGCCACAACATTGCAACTGCAGGGGCCGAGTTGCACCTTCTGCCGTGAATATATCCGTTTAACTCGGACTGGATCTCGTGGTTACGAGAAGGTACCTATCACTCAATTCCGCATTAATATAATTATAATATTATAAATTTGTAATTATAATATAATATTTAATAAATATAATTAACAATAAATAAAAAAAGTATACATCAATTTTAATTTTTAAAAATAATTAGAATTTTAATCTTAAATTATGTTATTTTATTTAATTAAAATTTAAAAAACTATCTTATTAAATATTAATATATTAAAATATATAATAAAATTTCAAATTTAAATATCAACATGCACAAATTAAAAAAATCCATATATTTTTAAACAAAAAGAACCAGCACATTATATTATAAGTTTATAATAATACATAACATTACAATTATAACATCAATTTTTGCAAAAAAATTCTTATTTTAGCTGAGAAAATGATAAAGATATAATTTTTTATATAATTATTTTACACAATCCTACATATTATTTAATTATTAACTCTTTTACTTTATTAAAATGCATAACATTACATGCATATATCAATATGTAAAAATTATACAAAAAAATTATCTATATATTATTACCTTATTGGCTGATAATGCAGCGAAAGGTTGGGTCAAATTTATTACTAAAGTCGCAAATTAATAACTCCACATCACACCATATGACTAAAAATCCTAACGGGAAATAATTTCCTTTTGTTTTTGGCACTTCAAATAGTCCTTGTTTGGAGGCTTTATTGGACTATTCACTTGGGTCTGGTCGTATAGAGACCCGTTTTTAAGCTTGCTCAAGTAATTTAATTAGGATTTATACATCTTACTGTAATTAGTCCAGGTTGGGTCCAGTGAGATTCAAAAGTAGTATATCCCCCACTGTACTTCCATTAATATTTTAATCAAAATATTTATTTTCATAAAAAAAAAAATAGCAGTTAATTAGACACATTAATTGAAAAATTAATACTCCTTCGGGTCCCATCCTTTTTTATTTAAAATCTGTCCCATGTTAATTTTCATTTTAATTCTCTTATTTTAAGACCAATCGGTTGATATGCGAGAAGGCGTAGGTCTGACCAATCTCAAAGCTACTCCACTTGAAGTTCTTATAACTCCGCGTCTTCCTGCATGTTGTTACAACCTGAAGTGATTATTTATCAGAAGTTTGTGTGACTATTTGCTTTAATAAAATGTGTTAGGTCTAGTAAATAAAGGCAGTGATATCGAGGATGAATAAAGGAGACCAATTCATAGGACCAATAAGGTGGTAAGCCACATCATTAATATATAAATTTTTTAAAATTTTAAATCGTTATTTGGACTGGTTTCTCTTTTATCTCTTCTCGTTTCTTTCTCTTCCAAAATCTCCATCTTTCTCTCTCATCTCCCCATTTTTTTGCCAAGCTCCTCCTCCAATGGACTCCGCCAAACTCGATCAAGGGCCAAGCTTAACCCCATCCTAGCAATCAAAACCCTATAGCCAAAGTTTTAAAATTTCAAAAAAAAAAAAAAAAAGAAAAAAAAGAAAAAAAAACTAAACTCTAACTATTTGAGTGTGAATTGTATCTTAATACATATGGAGGACTTTTGCATGGATATGGGGGAAATATGCGAATGTTGTGTTTTCCTTTTTTAGCTGGTGCAATTCCCTTAGTTTATGTGCTCAAGAAATTATTAAAAGCTAGATTTGTCAATTAGGAATTCAGTTCTTTTTTGTTTTTGGTATGCCCTCTTAGGTGTTCTCTTATAATGTCTTCTTGAAATTTTGGGTGAAGTACCCCTTCTACTCCTTATCATAATAATTTTTTTTTATTCATAAAAAAAAAATTGTATCTTAATACCAAAACCCTAACCGCCCCCTTCCTTCACTTGCCTTAATTTTTTCCTCTTTCTCTTGTTTCTTCTTTCCCCTAGTCACTACTTCTCTCCCCTTTGGCAATTAAGATGGATGGCTAAAGATGGGGATTTTCTCCTCTCTTGTGAGGGTTTTCCCTCTCTTATGGAGATTTCTCCTTTTTTTTTTTTTTTTTTTTGAGGGTTTCTACTTTGACTTCCTTGATATCTTTTATCAAGATTTGCTCTTTTCAAAAGAAGATAACAACTTGAATGTGATATTGGTTGGACTCAAATAAGTTATCGTTCTTGCTTCAATTGTTGAAGGCGTGGTCGAAGATGAGTCCCTAGCTAAATATTTTCGCCCCAACCAATTTATCTTCTGTTTGGATGGATTATGCTGGAATGTGGTTTAATTGCTAAATTTTGAGCTTGGGTCTTACTACAATATTCATGTAAACATTAGATTAGTTGATTTTGCATTTTCATGTATTTTATAAGTGTAATATTTCTAGCATATTACCCCATTTGAATTAGTCTTATAACCTTTATGGTTTTAATATATCAATGAAATTCTATTTCTCATCCCCCCCCCCCAAAAAAAAAACCCTAACTGTTAGTAAAATTGAACCTAACTGATAGAAACCCTAAGTCTATAGTTAGTCTATGTAAGCGAGATGAGAGAAATAAAGACAGTGGATGAAGATTTGGAAGAGAGAACTTGGATTTGGATGAACCCAAAACAAGGAAAAAATCATATATAGAAACACAAAGATGCAAAAAAGAGTTAAGCATGGATACTCTATTTTATTAAAATATTGTTGAGGTGGAATGCCACCTTGAGATTCCTCTAGTGAAATCATCCCCCTATTCGTCTTTTTTATCATTATTCTTCACCTAATAATGATGTCTTTGACATTGACTCATTGGACTAGGAGCATTCTTTCCCATCTACCGTCGACAAAAACCTACTTTTAACCTTTTATCTTATTAGGTTTGTATGTTTTAGTTTCTCACTTTATACTGTGACGTTTTTAATCCCTCACCTATTAGAATTGAAAAAAATAGCCCTTACTTTATAATATTTCGCTAGTTTTGTTAATTGACTGTTAACTCTGTTAGTTGACTATTAACTCTATTAGCTGAAAGTAGGTTTTTGTCAACTAACAATCAATTAATAAAAGTAACAGTTAATTAATAAAAGTAACAGTCAGTTAATAAAATAGTTTTATTAACTGACAGTTAATTTTATTAGTTAAAAGTAGGTTTTTACCAGCTAATAGTTAGTTAATAATTAGTTAAGAGAGTTAACAGAGTTAACAGTCAACTAATAAAACTAACAAAATGTTATAAGTGATGACTATTTTCTTTAATTTTAATAGGTGAGAGACTAAAAATGCATAATATAAAGTGGGGGATTAAACTTACAAATCTAATAAGGTAAAGAGCTAAAACTTACAAATCTAATAAGGTAAAGAGCTCAAAATAAGTTTTTACCTCTACCGCCCATATATTCTAATGAGGTTCATTAGTCCAAATGCACAAAATTAAGCTTAGCTAGCGACTAATTAATGGATCTTTCTCTCTTATTCCCACCACAATATTCTATGTTTGCCATCCTTGGCTTTCCACTGCTCCTATTCTCTTTTCTGTGGATATCAAACAATCTCTTCAAAAACAAGAAGAGAGAAGTACCACAAGCTGGTGGTGCATGGCCGCTAATCGGCCATCTTCACCTCCTTGGGGGGTCACAACCACTCTATATTACCCTTGGTAACATGGCGGATAAGTACGGACCAATCTTCACCATCAAGTTTGGTTCGCATAAAGTTTTGGTGGTGAATAATTCTGAAATTGCTAAAGAGTGCCTCACTATCAATGACAAAGCCTTCGCCAGTCGACCAAAGTTTGTCTTCACGGAGCTCTTGGGATACGACCGCTCCATGTTTGGCTTCGCCCCTTATGGACCTTATTGGCGTCAAGTTCGAAAGATCGCCACTCTCCAGCTCCTCTCAAACTACCGACTCGAGATGTTCAGACATGCTCGAGAATCCACAATATATGCATCTCTACAAGAGTTATATGGACTATGGAAAAAACAGAGAGATAGCTCTGATAAAGCATCGGTGGACATGAAAAAATGGTTTACGGATGCAATTCGTAACGTGATGGCGAAGATTATTGTAGGGAAGCAGCCGAATAGTAGTGATGCAGAGAGTGAAAGATGGATAAGGTTGTTGAAAGAATTCATGGAATTAAGTGGGAGGTTTGTGTTAGGAGATGCTTTACCTTTTTTGAGATGGTTGGACATAGGCGGTGATGAGAAGACCATGAAAAAAACGGCAGCCGAACTAGACCAAGTTGTAGAGGAATGGTTACAAGAACACAAGCACCGAAGAATCTCAGATGAAACCAAAAGCGATGAAGACTTCATGGATGCTATGCTATCAGTTCTTGGTGTCGATAATGAACAACTTGCTGATATCACTATCAAAGCAACTTGTTTGGTACACAATCTCTCTCACGCAATTCAACTTTAATTTCAATTATTAATTAGAATTGTCAAACAATAAAATCTCGCAAAATTTTCTAGTTTTGGTTTTTATGGAAGTTTTTGTCTGGATATCTTGTTTTGTAGTACCACAGTCAAAGATGGGTACTTATATTGCAATTTAATAATGATTAATTAATATTTTAGAGAAAATTAATGTGGCAGGGATTGACCCTTGCGAGCGTAGAGACCTCAGCAGTAACATTGATGTGGGCTTTGTCTTTACTACTAAACAATCGGCATGCTTTGAAAAAGTTGCAACATGAAATAGACACCATTGTTGGTGAAGAAAGGAAAGTGAACGAATCAGACTTAAAAAATCTTGATTATCTTCAAGCAATTATCAAAGAAACAATGCGTTTATATCCAGCTGCACCCCTCTTATTACCTCACCAGTCAACTGAAGATTGCATTGTGAGTGGCTATAATATTCCTGCAGGGATTGTTATGTTCATCAATCTTCCTAAAATTCAACGCGACTCGTCCATCTGGATGGATCCTGATGAATTCCAACCAGAAAGATTTCTGGTGAGTAATAAGGAGGTTGATGTTAAAGGTAAGAATTTTGAGCTGATACCGTTTGGTAGTGGGAGAAGGATATGCCCTGGGATCAACCTTGCGCTTCAAGTTATGCAGCTTACCCTGGCTAATTTGGTGCACGGATTTGAGATTTCAACCTTGTTAGACCAACCAGTTGATATGCAGGCAGGAGTAGGTCTGACCAATTCTAAAGCTGCTCCACTTGAAGTCCTTATAATCCCGCGCCTTCCTGCTGGAGCTTATTAAGAAGTGAATTAAGGGCATTAGCAAAAAGGCATATCACCGCATGCGTGTGTTTTGTTTTGTGTTTCTCTTTTTTTTTTTTTCCTCCCAAAATAATGTTGGCCAGTTGCAACTGCAACTGGTTTAAAAAAAAAAAACTTAATTACTAGTACTTATATGCTAAAATGTAGTTATGTGATAATTCGGTCTCTCTCATACACACTCCAGTACCAGACATGTTCGAGTTTTTATTATTTTTGGTTTATGGTGTCTATACTTTTAGACCAACTAGCATTTCTCAACCCGCTTTGCAGGTTGTGAGGGTGAATTTTGACTTTAAAAGAAAAAAAATGTATATAGCTAAAAATTTGGGATGTGTTTGGCTGTTGGACTACCCCTAGGCCTCCTCTTGACTTCATGATAGATGCAAACTCGATAGCAATCCAAATAAAGAACGGGCGAAGAAAAGGCAAAAGGTAAAGTCTTGGTGATGAATAGGGTTCATCAAAAATAAAGTTAATGGCCGGAGATGAAATGAAGAAAGTGAAATGGAGGTTTTGTAGAAGGAGGGAATTGGTGGAGAGAGAATAGGTTGAAAATTTTTTTTTTTTTTGCCAGTCAAGATGTTCTCAAACTATTTTATATGCACTTTAAGATTAATTTATTTATAGTCTTGTTAAAAGTAGTTATTTAAAGGATAGATAAATATAATAAAAAAAGAAAGACTTCTAATAGAAAAGGAGGTCGTTTTGATAGTTTTACCCCTACATTAAAAAAATAATTATAATTACTAAGATTTCATTTAGTATTATTGGAATTTTGAGATTTTAGTTTTGGTTTTCAAAAATTTTTAAATCCTAGAATAAAATAAAAAATTTTATGTAATAATTAACTTTGAAGTTTTAGACTTAACTTTAAAATTTTATATCTAATAAGTTATCAATTTTAATTTTTAATTTGGGTTTTCAATTATTAATTTTGATTATTTGAATGTTGAAAACCAAAATTAAAAACCTAAAACTACAACCATAATCATACTAAACTAAGCTTAAATTTACCAATCAAAATGCTCTTCAAACTAAAAAGAAAAATGGTTACAACTCTCTCACAAAGTCATGCAAACCGAAATGCCCTCTAAACTAAAAAGAATTACAATTTTCTCACAATAAAATGGCATTTTATGAGATTTTTAAATATTCATAAGACTTGGATTGTCCCCAAATCAATAAGAGATTACAAAACCACTAGCTTCTTTTACCTTCTTTTAAGAATAAAAGAAGAAAGCAAAATGATATATTTGAGTT